TCAATTGAAAGAGGAAGCAGTCAGATTTACCCTTTGAAATCTCACAGCGTGTATAAACTGTAGCAGGCTTTTCCAGTGCATGCAGTGATCAATAGTGTGTAAAGCGTCAGTGGACTGTGGTGAGCAAAGTAAAGAGACTAAACTCATTGTTCAGTAGATACAGGAATAAGCTCAGCATCCTCCTTTCCTGCCCACAAAGAGACATCCATGCCTCCTTACTTACGGGTTCCTCCATGTTTCTAGGTAGGGCACCATGCTTTAGATGGCATTGCAATGAAACTAAATAGTTTTCCCTAAATACTTTCAAAGCATCACCTGGTCGCCCAGTGGGTCATATCAATTATTTTACATTGAAAGGTTACCATCATTTACAGACTGGCTAACGTCATGGATTCAACTTCAGATTGATCTGGTTAATGTTAGTTTAAGATAACAGATCTTCATAGAAGGTCTGAAGGAGAAATATTCCTATTGATGGCAACTATCAGAGTATGTGGGAGAAATGTGATCAAGGTGGATTGATAATGAAAAATAGCCCCAGGACAGAACCCTGAGGAACAGCCAGCTAACTGGAACTGGTTTGACCAGGATGAGAGACTGCGGCAATCAATTTAGGACTGAAAGCAGCTGAACTGTTTTATTAGATTTACTGATGAGGGATCATATCAAAGGATGCTATCGGATGGAATGGTGTCCAGAATCAGATCCATAGAGCATTTCTCAGAAACTTATAGTTCATCAAGGAAGGTGTTTTCATGGTGTCTGTCTTGTGTTTCAGTATTCCCTGAAGATGTTCAGCAAAGGGTGCTGGTTAAAGAAGAAGCTCCAGAAACGTGCAGTTCTGATGAGGAGCAGCTGGATCCGCAGCCCGTCCACATAAAGGAGGAACAGGAGGAACTGTGGATTGATCCAGAGGGCGAGCACGTTGACGAGAGTGACGACACTGATACCAGCAGTTTTCCAGTCATTAAAGTCATTGTAAAAAGTGAGGATGAGGAAGAAGACGGAGATCTCCCAAGCAGCAGCTCAGTTGAGCACAAGAAACCAGATACCGATGACAAAGAACGTGAAGCCAGCAAGCACCCAAACACTCTGGTTCGCGTTCTCAACTCCACAGAAGCTGAGATGAGTGATGAAGAAAAGGATGGTGCAAAGAACCCTGACTTTAAGGTGTCAGACCGTGGTCCTGAAAACGCAGACATAAGGACCAAGTGGAAGGAGAGCGATACTCCTGAGTCAGCCGGAAGCACCGTCAGCCGAAAGTGTTTCATCTGTGACGACTGCGGTAAAACCTTTAAGAAGAAACATTATCTAAACGAACACATCAGGAGCCACACAGGAGAGAGACCATTCGGTTGTGATGTTTGTGGACAGAGGTTTAGTCTGAAGAAATGCTGGAACGTCCATGTCAGGAACCACTCCGGAGAAAAACCATTTTGTTGCGATGTTTGTGGTCAGAGGTTCAGTCTGAAGAGAACCTTGAGCGATCATCTGAGAATCCACACAGGGGAGAAACCCTTTGGTTGTGACGTTTGTGGCCAGAGCTTTAGTCTGAAAAAGACCCTAAATGATCACCTGAGAATCCACACGGGACTGAAACCGTTTAGCTGTGACGTCTGTGGGCAAACCTTCAGCCTTAAGACCACTTTAAACAGACACATCCAGATCCACACAGGACAGAAAGCATTCCGCTGCGACCTCTGTGGACAAAGGTTCAGACAAAAGTCCACTTTAAACCGACACATGACAATCCACACAGGACAGGAGACCTATCCCTGTGAAGTTTGTGACCAGAAATTTGAGCGAAAGACTCATCTAAACATTCATATGCGAGTCCACGCAGGTCAGCAGCCGTTCTGCTGTGACGTCTGTGGACAAAGGTTTGACCGAAAGTCCAATTTAAAAATACACCTGAGAATCCACACAGGTCAGAAACCGTATTGTTGTGGTTTCTGTGGACAAAGATTTGGCAGGAAGTCCAATCTAAACAGACACATGAGAATCCATACAGGAGAGAAATCATTCAGTTGTGAGTTTTGTGAACAGAGGTTCAGCCTAAAGACGAGTTTGAATGATCACCTGCGAATCCACACGGGAGAGAAACCATTTTTTTGTGATGTTTGTGGTCAAAGGTTTCGCCAAAAGTCAACTTTGAATATTCATATGAAAATCCACACAAGACAAAAGTAGTTTCCTGTCTTTGAGCCAACTGATTTAGACTGATTTGATCCAGGCAGTGAAATAGCAACCACTGTTTCTGGAATGCCGCAGTACATCTGGACATGGACAAGGCAGACACAATTCTGTAAAGTCCCTCTACGTGTGGATGTTTCCTACACAACGCACTATGTCCAGATACTGACCTAGCGGTTTGATGTTTTTGTAACATTCCTCTATATCAGAAAACAGATATAGCAGACAGATGTTTCTATAACATTGTTCTATATCCAGAAATGGACGTAACAGCCAGAAGTTTCTATAACGTCAACCTATGTCCTGACATGGATGCTGAAGCTGGATGTTTCTGTAACTTCACTCTACGTTCAGACAGTGATGTACCAGCCGTTGTGAATCTAACATCGCTCTACATCCAGATACGGACGTAGCAGCTGATGTTTCTATAATGTTGCTCTACGTCCAGACAGTGACGTACAGCCAACGTTTCTGCAACGTCGCTCTACGTCCAGACCTGGACGTAGCGGCTGCAGTTCTGTAATGTCGCTCTATGTCAAGACACGGACGTAGTGGCTGACGTTTCTGCAACAACGCTCTACGTCCAGACAGTAACGTACAGCCAACGTTTCTGCAACGTCGCTCTTCGTCCAGACAGTGACGTAGCGGCCAGCCTTTCTGTAACATCACTCTACTTCCAGAAACGGATGTAGCAGCCATCGTTTCTGTAACGTCGCTCTACGTCCAGACACGGGCATAGGAGCCAATGTTTCTGTAATGCTGCTCTACGTCCAGACACGAACGTTGCAGCCGAAGTTACTGTAACGTCGCTCTACGTCCAGACACGGTCGTGTCAGCCGTCATTTCTTTAACACCGCTCTATGTCCAGACATGGACGTTGCAGCCAATGTTTCTGTAGCGTTTCTGTATGTCCAGACATGGATATAGCAGCCGACGTTTCTGTAACGTCGCTCTACGTTCAGACATTATTGTAGCAGCCGACGTTTCTGTAACGTCGCTCTACGTCCAGACACGAACGTAGCAGCCAACGTTTCTGTAACATCGCTCTACGTCCAGACACGGACGTAGCAGCCATTGTTTCTGTAACATCGCTCTACGTCCAGACACGGACGTAGCAGCCATTGTTTCTGTAACATCGCTCTACGTCCAGACACGGACGTAGCAGCTAGGTTTTTCTATATTGCGAACATAACAGCCGGACATTGCTCTAACTTTGCTCTAACTGGTGTTCTGGTGTATGGTGAAGAATCTCCTAGAAAACCAATATTATTGGTTACATCTATCTACTAACATAATCATATTTGTATTCATATATTCTGATATGATGACATAGCTGTTACTGTAGTCTGCTGTGAGAACCTCCTTAGGGTTCCCACTGAATCACAGGGCTTGTTAGGATTTCAGTTCCTTCCTTAGTGATTTTTGTGCGGGAACCAGTTCCCTGACGAGCTCCAGTTTACAATGAAGCATGTCTAGTTTTCTTAGGTTGGGTTTAATTCCATATATTTCCTTCTTATCTCAACATATCTTTATTTATTTATTTTTTTTATTTTGCATTTTGAAGCCATTTGATGTCCTTTTACATTTTTTCTGCAGATATGAGATTTTTAACACTAAGAACAATGAATGTGACGATGTGTCTTTGTATCTTTTTAAATCTCTACTGAAAACATCTCTTTACTCCTGTGGATGAATATTTAGTGCATGAAATGGGTTTACCAAAGCCTTAGTTTAACAAATGTAGAGGGATATAGGACAAAATATGTACAAGTAATTTTCCGAGAGGAAAACTATAATATTGTATGACATGAAAGACCGATAAACGTTGAAGAACCTGAAATTAAAGAAATTTGTTCCGTAATAATAGTTTGTGTTTTTCTTTGTACCTAAACTCGTTAATTTATATTTAGCCAGGATGCTTGAGTTTATATGTTCTATAGTAGAACCATGGTTGACCTGACAGAAAGGACCCTCTGATGACCTGCCTCATGCTGTGGAGAGACTGGTAGGTTTCCCCGCACAGCCTGAGCCCAGACCATCTCCAGGAGGTAGCTGACCTCCCTCAGGGACCTCTAACCACCCTTTTAACGTCTTTGGTGGTGGTAGAAACTGTTGGATGAGGCTTCTTTTAAGAACAGTGATTTATTTATGAATGAAAGTAAAACCAAGAGGAGAACTATTTCTACATTTATAGTTGGAGTGATTGAGCTGTAAAGCGCAGACGTTTTCTGGAGGGTGCATACAGAGGCCTCGACATCGACCTGTGACAAAGCAAAAACATTTAATTTGAGAAAACAATATGATTCCAGTGAGCTTCAAAAGGTTTTATTGATGCCTTTTTCCACATTTAATAGTAGTTGTTACAGAAGGTCATTAGGGTTAGCGTTTATAGGGTTTCTATAGGTCAGACCCAGTTGCAGCCCAATCAAAACCAGTACCAATATGGTTATTGGAAAGACGCTTTGGCAGGTAAGCCAGTGCCAAGTTCTGCTAAAAAAAGGAAACCAGCCTCTCTGATGGTAGATATTCTCCTGCATTGAGCATGTATACAGGGATAGTGGAGAGAAATAACTCTCTTTTAACAGGAACTCTTTTAACAGGCATATTTAGGCTTAGTGTGAGCAGCCTTCTCAAGCAGGAGGTTCTCTAAAGCATCCTGGTAAATTAAATGAAAATGCAAATTTTCCTTTCAGTTAAGTAGATGACTTTTGGGCTTGTAGCCTATGTGTAGGATGCGCAGTGGACCTCGACCTCTCTACTAAGCTCCCCCAAATCTTCTTGCTCTAATTTTTACTGACGCATCTTTTCCTTTCACTCGCACCTCTATGAATATGCTTGGATCTTTTGATGACTTTCAATCCTGTGTTAATAAGCTGATTAGGGTATGACATCAGGTTTCAATATTCAACTTTTTCTCAACCTTTTCTGAGATGCTAAATGTCGGGATTTCATCTCTGGAAATCAGAATGATTAAAATTAAAGAGACTAAGGCTTTAACTATTTCCCTCTTCCCTATTTGATGGATCTATAATTGATTCGCTTCGTTTTCATAGAACCATTTTCACTAGACTCTAACCTTCTTGATGACCACTAAATGTATGCTTCCCCTCCCCCTGTTGTCTAAAGCCCAGCATGTGGAGCAGGTCTTGTAAATGGGTGTCTGTCCAGATCCAGCAGCAGGTGAGACCAGTCAGAGACAAGTCTTCAGATCCTCGGTTGAAGCTGCATCTTTATTCCAGGAAGCGAATACTCATCTTGTGGTCGATGTTCACTTTCTCCAGCGACTGAAAACAAAACATATTTAGAACGGGAGCTAAAGCTGAATCATCAGTTTATTCTTGTTTTTTCTATTTGTTTTAAATAAACGATAACATGTATCTTCCTGTCATTTAAAGTTGCTTATTATTTATCATTACCATTTAATAAACTCGTATTCTATTGAATCAGAAGATTAAATCAATACTTTTGATCTCATGGTCCTTTCTGTTTTACAGGATTCTAATATTTTAGACTTGACTTTTTGACTTGACTTATTCTAATCTTGACTTAGTCATTTTCACAACTTAAAGAATTGAAAATGCTCCCATAACTATGATAAAAATCAGAAATGGTGTCAGAAACATGCAGGTTTAAGTAGCTGCTGAGGTTTGGGTAGAGGTAGAGGATTTTTGGACTGTTGGGTTGAAAATAGCTAAACCACAAGCTAAACTCAGCCTAGTGGGATTACTTCAGTCTAACCAATCCACAACAATGACAGTGGTGCCACCAAGCTGGTTATCAACTGGCTAACTCAGTCCAGGTTTAACTAACCTGCGCTCAAAACTATGACTGCAGAAGGAAGAGTGCAATATTTCTCCACTGAGGAGCAAAAAGCTAATCTTACAGAAATATGAAGATAAAAGAAAAGTCTCAATAAAAAGTCAAACATGGTTGCAGCAAAGGACTGCTGACTGCGTAAATGAGCAACATACACATCAGTGTCATTTAACACCGACTGCATTCCAGCCTGCACTGCAAATTAATCATGTGCCCTTCGGGAGTGAAGAGGAGTTGGGAGCAGATAAAAATAAAACCAAAACGTCATTTCATCTGGTTACTTTTTAACGTTTGGACTTCAATAAAGCTGGAAGCTGATGCCGCAACAGCGTCATTTTAACACAATAAGTGATCAGTCTGAGTGAAATCATCCTGATTTCTGATCTGTTTCAGAACTCAGCAGGACAAATGGTAAAAACCTGCTAGACATTTAAAATGGAGAAAGTGCTGAAATGCAGCCCTAAATGTACAGAAATCTGAGCTTCTGCAGTGATTAATCCAATAAAAAAAAGTATTTTATTATTGCTGGATAAATGCATTTTCTACTTAAATGAAACATTTCTGCCTCAGTCTCATGGAGATTCTTTGCTCATCATGATCAGTGTTCCTGGCAGTTTACCATCAATCTTACCAAATTATTTTCCTAATGTTTTTTTTAACATTTCTTTTTTCAGACTTTATTTTTCATTGTTTTTTTAAAATGCTTTTTCGAAGTGGCTTTTATAGAACACATTCTCTTAACTTCCCGCCCCATACAAATTCTCGCTCTTGACCAATCAAAACGTTGTTACCAACATCCATGCAGACCAATAGAAATGCAGCTTTGCAGAGGAAAGCCTCATGAGTGAAATGACTGACGTGTTAAAATTTGAAAGTATGCAATTTGTAAAAATCTGAAAAGGACAAATAAAAAAAAAAAGATTTATAAAAAAAAACAAAAAAACAATTATAAATAATTTAAGATAAAAAAAAATGCGAAAAAATAGAATTTGAAAATATGTTAATATTTAAAAAAAAAAATAACTTATTAACTCATCCTCTGGTTATTTTAAGAAACCAGAGAAGTTACTTTCAAAATGTTTGTGATTAAAATGTTTTTGTTTGCTTTTTTTTTAGATAGAATTTTTTAATGCATTCTTAGCCACAATAATGGAACAAATGTTACTGCACAGAGTCACACCTTCCTGTGTTTAAACCTTTAATCTGAGCAAAGACACAAGTTAGTTCTTTAGAGCGGATCGTCTGAAAAACAAACTGTTCTGGTTCTTTGGCTCTGGGTGGAGTTAACCTGACCTCCAGTAACTTAATGACGATACCTCATCATTAAGATGTCTTACAGTTAGTAAAATGAAAGCAGAACCAAGCTCAAGTGGACCCACCTTCCTGAACTCATCGAAGGAGATGGCGCCGTCCTTGTCCAGGTCGGCTTCCTGGATGGCCCTCTCTGCGATGCTCTGCAGCTGCTCCTCTGTCACCTGCATACCCAGCATTTCCCTCAGCACCTGGCAGTAGCAGAACCAGCATTTTTTCAATAACCGGGTCTCATGGCGGCTTTTATGCAGAAGTATCAGGTTTTATTCTGGGTCAAGGTTCTGATTCTTTGTTGTATTTAGATTAGATTTTGCGTTTTCTTTTGAATTCAACTGAAACATGAAGTTCCTCCAACTGGGTGCTGAAGAAGTGGAACCGATACATGCAGAAGGATGTCAAATTGGATGTCTTTAAGCTTTAGGCTGTCATGCATCAGAACACAATACAACAGGTCTGATCTGTAGAGTTGTAAACTCTTTTAATTCCGGAACCAGTTGGTCAAAATATCTGCAGAACCAACCATCTAAACCACCAGCCTGGTCTGGTTCCTCTGCCGATTGATCATCAGTGATCAGATTAACGGCACTGTTTACAACCCGCCTCCAACATGGGTTCTGAGTTATGGTGTGGAGGGTTGTTCTGCTCTGGGCAGTCTCTTTGAGTTTGGCTGAACCATCCGGGTTGATGATATGGACGTGTTCAGGAGCCGCACAACTTCCACCTTAAGTCTCCAAATGGAACCCAATCTCCTCATTAGACCAAAATAATCTAAAGTCAGATGTGAGTTCTTCAGCCAACATCTGAAGTCTGCTCCATTCTGGGTGATCAATGGAACAATGGACCTCATGCAACAACATCTTCTTATTCTTGTAAATTTCTCTCACATTTTCTTCTACCATTTGCTCTTAACTTCAGTTAATGATCCTAAAGGATCCTGATAAACTTGATACAATCTAAAAGTGCTTAAATGAGCACACGTTCCTGTAAAATGTAAATCTGCATAATTCAATAATTATCCCACATAGTGCCATATAAGGGTACAACCTTCCCTGCTTTGTCTGATGGTGTTCATTCATAGAAAAGGCATGAAGACAAAGAAGAATAACTTTAATGTTAAGCAGATCAAAGTTCTGCTGATGGAGCGGAGCAATAGAAATAAACAGCTCAGTAAAAGCCAAGCAGTGGGACATACATTACAAGGGGGGTAAAGGCCATGGTTGCACTGGTACAGAACACAAAAAAAAAAACAATAAAATTTGGTCTGTTAGGATTATTTTATTTATGATTTTTATGTCTGTTCAACCCTAATAACATCTGCTTGTTACATGTCAGAACTAATGTTTTCCCAAGTCGTTTATTAGGACTTTTGCTCTGTCAGGATGAAAAAAGTCATTATGTCCTATATGTTCTATATCCTAATTCACATATGTGTTTGAGTTAATGATGTGGCAGACTGGAGTTGAATAAAATGCTTCTGTAACTGCGATTCGGTGCCACTTCAACGAGAAATGAGCTCCGTTGGTAAGCAGCTGCCTTCTGTAACTCAGAGCAACTTCTGGTCTGATTAAGATTACAGTTTCTGTCAAAATCTGTTCTCATGTCTCACGGTTATTTTATTCATATATATTTCCCGAGCAGTGTTGTATAGTAACGAAGTAAAAATACTTCACTACTGTACTTAAGTATATTTTGGAGTACTTTATACTTTCCAAGAGTATACATTTTTTTGAGAACTTTCACTTTTACTTCACTACATTTACAAACTTAATTGCATACTTTTACTCCAAAACATTTTCAATGTTTGGTTTGGTTACTAAGTAAAAAAAAAATAAAATGAGCGAGAGAAACGATGTGTTTTGACCCCGCCTAATGACTGCAAAGTCAGGTCTTGCCTGGGCTTGTTCATCAACACCAATAAGATACGCCTGTTTGGCAAAGCCAGTCTAAATTTATCCTACACTTGGTTGTTTATATTATTTTAAGTGAATTTAACCTTCAAAGTTTACCAAAATGTGAAAAAATGTCATTCAAACTGCACTTACTTTTTACTTATACTTTTCCCTACATTACTTGAGTACATCTAATTTTACAGTAATTCTTATACTTAAGTTGAAGCCATCTCAGATACTTTAAGACTTTTAGTCAAGTAACATTTCAGTCAGCGACTTGGACTTTTCCATAAGTCATATTTTGGAGAGGTACTTGACTCCGAGATTTCAGTACTTTATACAACACTGTTCCCGAGTGATCAGAACCGGGGAAATAAGCTTTAAGGTTTAAACACAGAGTTTTCCTTAACAATGAACAACAGTCAATGAAAACTACTGATGGAAGCGTGAGGTGCAAAATATGATGCAAATGCTTAATGTCAGTTTACTGTAAACCAACATGGCAACTTTTTGCAAAATCTCCTTTTAATAGGCAGACATTTTAATTAGGTGTGTGTATTTAACAAATTCAAACAGACCCAAACCCAATCAATCAAATTGAATTCACGCCTCAGCGTTAAAGGAGTTTTTCTGAACTTCTATCCATCTTTTTTCCATTTTCTTTTCCAGATGTTATTTCAATAGTAGCTTGATCTCTGACTGTTCTTTCTTTTCATGAACGGATAATAAATTAAACCAAATTACTCTTGATACTCTTGATACTAACATGCCAGCTGAAAGTGTATTGAACGATTGCTCGGGCATCAGGGAATAAAAGTGTAAACTAAGATTTTGGAGTTGCAAAATACATAATGATATACAACAATAAAATGGATATTTACTTCTGAGTAACAATAAATGTGGTCATTTACTGAAAAACTAAGTTTGGGAAACAGCTGACTGATTGTGTAAGACTCAAACGTAAAGTCTGGAGCACTAGTGAAATTTGTTTGTACCTGAGAGAAGCTGAGAAATAGGAGAAAAATGGTGAAGTCCTCCTAAATCACTCGCACGGACGATTAAGGAAGGAATCTGTTTGTACCAACAGTTATTGCATGAGGCCCAACAGCAGCACATCTAATGAAAAGTGGCCTAGTCAAAGTTGAGACCTGTACCTAACTCAAATGCTGCACTTAGAAAGGGGTCAGGGCGAGGAACGGACCAGAACCGTGAGAGGGACAAAGGTTTTGCAGGCTGCTGGATCAAATTTTAGACCCCTTCACTGTTCTCTGCTTTGGCTTTGTGGATTCTGTTCATGTTGGGGTTTAAACCGGTTCTATGGTTAATTTCCTTTGTTATAATTATGGGTTAAATTTGTAGAATTATCAGACAGCATGTGCTTATTTTCCACTGTTATGCTGACAATACTGAGGTATATTGGTCCACACATCTTGAAGAAAGTCGCCCATTACATAGACATAAAAACCTAGATGACTTGTTTTAGACCAGTTATTGTTTTAGAACAGACTTTAAAAAGAAGCTTATGAGTGAGTCTTTTCATCCGGATTAAATTGGCCTCAGATAATCACATAAAAAAAAACACTTGGTGTTATTTTTTGATCGGGACTTGTGATTAAAATCCTGCTTTAAACAGGTTCATGAATTTCCTTCTTTAATCTCCAGAATATTGCAAAAATCAAAATATCTTGTCCAAGGGTGACACTGAGGATATAGTTTATGTATTTGTTCAGGACTAAACTATAACTTTTCCTATCACGCAAATCACAAAATGCAGTGAAAAGCTTTCAGTAGAACCAGGCTAAAAGCTCCGTTCTCTCCTTTGATTTCAACTTTAGTAGGGACACTATTGGTCTGATGTCATTGGTCCCATGCAAAAATATGCATGCTCATTTTTTTATGCTTGAAGTGTTTTTGTTTAAAAGAAAAGCAGCATTTCTTGCTACATTTGTAAGATTTTATAAGCTCTACACACACACTAGATGCTGTTTATCAATTTTGAAGCAACATTGGCTCTGATGAATGAGGAATTATGACTTTTTTCCACTTTGAAAAGGTTTGCATTTGAAATTACCAGCGACTAAAACAGAAAGTAAATCTGTCTCTATTTAACAAAATATAGTCTAAATATGTCTGTTATATGTGGATTTATCCTGTATTTACCTTTAAAGATACACAATTGTGCAGAAGTAAAAAGAGGTAAAACCCACTCTTATCTTTTAAATATTTTCTCTGTATCATGAAACAAAGCAAAATAACAGATTCAAGGGACCCCAAATAAATGCATTGTATTTACTAGGTGTGTAAATCACATCCATCATGGCGATTCGATTCAGTATCGATTTCCTGACCCAACGATTCGATTATATTAGATACTCAAGAATACACCACGATTCGATTCTGTTAATCGGTAAATTTTTTATTTTTTTTTTACACCTTACAGACTAAACAAAGTTTTAAGTTCGAAATAAATCAATGAAAGCTGTAATATCGTTATGAATTTTTTTTTTAGAAACAACAGCAAATAACAGAAGTAGAAAAGTTGCATCAAAAAATACTGCAAAAATACTGCAGAAAATCAGTGCAATGAGTGCAATTCAATACCTCGGCTCCTCCACAGACGCTCCGCTGCTGCTCTCCCAAATTGTAGCTGACCGCAAACAGTGCCGCAGACAGGGGGCCGGCTTGTTTTGCGGAAAACAACTCGTGAAGTTTGACCGGCTAGAAGAGCGAGGTGCGCGAGAACGCTGGGACCCTTTTTCCACCTGGATCTCCGCTCTTTTTGGCCCTCATGTCCCTCCGTCGTCGGACTAAACTCGCCCCCACTTCCTCGCCGCCTCGGCCGTATCTAGACCCACAGCGTTCAGCACAGACCACGCTTCAATATTGAGCATAATTTAAAAATGTCTGAGTCAAGCTCACTGCAACACACTGCTGTAAGAGTATAACCAGGAAGCGAGGTAGGAGGGCAAAATAGGTTTAGCGCCACCGCAGCACGGAAGGGAGAATTACGCCCAGGAGCAAATGGATAAAAATAGACCGGAGGAAAAAAAAAAAAACATGAATCGATTCTCTTTGCGGACGTGTCGATGCATCGGATCGTTGGCTGTTGGATCGATGCATCGATACAAAACGATTATTATTTACACCCCTAGTTGGCACTCTATCAGTAAACTGAATTAAACACGCATTCAGAATTGTAAGGATATGTTCTGCATCAATTTGGATCAGTTAGCTTTTTGTTGTTAAATCAAATGTTGAGCTTATTTCTAAATCAAGATTCTTGCAAAGTAAATAATTTTTGTTATTAAAAAGAAAAAGAGTTACAGACCTGAAGAAGCTCCGCTCTGGAGATCTTTCCGTCTCTGTCCCGGTCGTACAGCCGGAAGGCAACTAAAGACAGGCATTTTCTCAATTATTGGTCCTTTTTTTTCTTTTTTTTTCAAAGTATGCTAGTTAAATTAGAGAGAATTTGAAACATATACTGACATTTAAGTTTCCGGGTTCGGCTGTTGGCTGGATCCGGCTGTCCTTTGTCTCTATTTCGGTTTTTCTCAGTTGGACGAAAGTGAGCCAGAACTCGGACAAAGGAAGGGAAGTCCACCGTTTCCTGGCTGCAAAAAGGAAGGAAGTCTTAATGTTTACTGATTTCCTGTTCTGACGGACAGACTGGACCCACTACTGTAAAAACATGATGGCTATAATCTAGAATTAACTGAGAAAAGCAGGTATCCAGTTGTGTACCCTGGCTTGAAAAAGGCTTCAACTATTCTGTCACCGATGGGATTCTCAGACAACTCCAGCACTGCTTCAAAGTCCTCGGGCCTGAGACACAAAAAGAATCAAAGTAAGAAGCTGAAATGTTCTTACAACAAATGCAATTATCATCAACATCTTTATATGTTATTTGTGCAGGAATTTCTGCCCCAGAACAACCAGAACTCATGTCTACAGATTGTTTTGAAGTTTATGCAGAAGTCTATCATCTACCCGTCTTCTAAACCCGCTGCAGGATGGGGTGTGCTGGTTCTGAACTCCAGCAGTCATTTGCAAGGACTCCCTGGACAGGTCATAGAGTCACATGCAGACAGTCATACCTGAGGGCCATCTTTAAGGGACTGGTTGACCCACAGTTCTTCGTATTCACGGATACTTGTAAAAATGGTTCAGTAAAGCAAGTTACCATCTCCAAGCTTTGAATATTTCCCAGGACTCTGCTTAGTCAATTCAACTCAAGTTTATTTACATAGAGCAAATTCACAACACATGCCATCTAAAGGTACTTTACAGAAACAGTCCAATCAGATGATAGCCAGATAGATAAAAGCTGGGGCTGCATGGTGGCACAGTTAGTGAGGTTGTTGCTGTTGGTCCTGGGTTCATTTCCTTGCTTATGGTGCAGATTTCTTTGGGTACTACTACTCCCACTTCCTCCCACAGCTCCAAAACACAACGCTTAGGTTAAATGGCGTCTCTGAATTGTCCTCAGTTGTTTATGCAAGATTTTGTGTTTCTGTGTCACCTTGCATTAAACTGGCAACCTATCCAGGGTGTACCCCACCTTTTGCCAATAGACTGATGGAGATGGACACCAACCCCACTGACTCTGGTGGCCAAGATGGTTGGATAGAAAACCAGCTTTCTGCATCGAATCCATAACCTTGTAGGATTTTGGATGAACATGTTGGAACTGTAGAGATTCACTTGCATTTTGTTATTGACTCTACAGCGATTCCTCACAACAAGCATGCATGCAGCGACAGTGGAGAGGAAAAAGTCCCTTTGAACAGGAAGACACCTCCAGCAGAACCAGGCTCAGGGTAAGAAGGTCACATACCGAGGCCGGCTGGAGTTCAAGGAGACCAAAGAAAACATACAAAAGGAACATACGTAGTTGCATTGATCTATAAATACTTTCTAAGTTAGAAAGGGTAACAGTAACTAGCTAAAGAAGAGCTCTAAGCCAGTTTTCATGTCAAAGGGATTACAGAAAAAGGTGAGCCCAGAGCTATGTCTAGTGGAAAAACAGGGCTAAACACTGATAAACAGGTTGTCTCTATTGTCTAAAATCAATCGCAAGTTAATCGCATTAGCCCAGCTGATATTTTTTCTCTATGATAGCGTCACAGCAAAACAAGAGCAGACCAAATGATTCATCTACTGGACATGGAATAATGAGGGACCAGCCTTGGGCAGAATTGTTGGAATTGGTCGTTTTTTTATCAGACAGCATGGGATTAATATCCTCTGTTAAACTGATGAAACTCAGATATTTTTTTTATTGTCCATAAATCCAGATGAATCTAATCTGTTAGAGAGGCTACATTAGTGTCTTGAAGACATAAAAACCTGGATGACTTTAAGTTTTCTGCTTTCAAATTCAGCGGCGACTCTAGATGAGCTGCAGAGATCCACAGCTCAGGTGTGACAATTTATCCACAGAACAGCTGTCAAATGTGGACTCCACAGATCTGCCCTTATTAGAAGAGGAGTACAAAGCGCCAAAGGAAGTCATGCAGGAATATTGCAGGAATTAGAAATATCCTGTCTAGGATTGATGCTGAGAAACTAGTCCATGCATTTGTTACTTCAAGGCTGTAATTATTTACTATCAGGAAGTCCACAAACTGTAGTTAAAAGCCTTCAGCTGATCCAAAATGCTGCAGCCAGAGTTCTGATGAAAATTAAAAAGAGAGATCATATCTCTCCTATCCTGGCTTCTCTTCATTGGCTTCCTGTTAAATTCAGAATAGAATTTAAAATCCTCATTCTCACATACAGTAGATAGATAGATAGATAGATAGATAGATAGATAGATAGATAGATAGATAGATAGATAGATAGATAGATAGAT